AATAGAAATATAATTTCCAATTTAGTTGATAAGGCAATTTATTCATCCGATCAGTCCTTTCATAATATTAATTTAAAATTGATCACGGACATACTAAAAGAAAACAACTACCCGGAATAATGCACAGATTGATAATAAACTCACAATCAGACAACATAGATACAAACAGAGAAATACTATGGCACCTAATTGTTTCAATAAGAATAAATGTGACCGTAATACAATTTTAGCGATTCTGTTTATTCATGACTATTTTTACAAATGTAGTAATAGCTTTAAAAAATTTAATATTAAATGTGTTTCTACGGTTAGTCACAAATTGAATAATATCATAAAATTAGGCAAAGATAATAGTTGTAATTGGGATGAAACTGGTATGGTATACAAATTTAGTTAAATTTATTAAAGTTATTTAGTTAAACTGTAAGTTATGTCCTGCTATATACATATGATAGGTGACAATTCGCGCGAGGCGAATTTTTCAGGTGTGTAGGCCTTTCTACAACCGAGTGGCCTTTGACTCGGGCGGCAATCAGGCTCTCGGGCACCCCGTCCCGTTCGCACGTCAATAATGAAATCTTCGTAAATCTGAATCTGGGCCCCCGATATCGCGATCGTGAGATATTCAATCGGACATATTCATATATATATATATATATATTCACGTTCGATTATATAAAAAAAACAATGTTATAGAATTATCCCTAATATAACGGGGAAGCATATGGATACACTCAAGCGCATTGTATAGTATTTATAATATTTATTTTATAAAATTCAAGTACATGAATAAATAATCAAGCAAAAATAGAAAGAGATATATATATATATAGACGCGTATTCTTCGCCTCGCGTTGTCTATTCTTTTAAAACAAATGGTACTCACTTATTTTCAATAAAGTTATTGGTGTTCGGTCATTGGTGTATTATTATTATTTTTATTTATATGGTCTTACTTCCTTTTTAAACGAATTGAATGGTCCGTGTGATGTTCGTATCACTTATAAATAAAAATAATTCGAACTCTCGTAATCTAGCTAATGAGTAAGAATTTGTTTCCGATGATTTTACTCTAATTGTCAAGAAAATAGATAATTGAAACAAATATAATAAATAAGTAAATTAAATATACATAAGTAATTGCAAAATATCGAGGAAAGTCAGACAATGCCCTAGTTTCTTATGGTGCGAATTGTCCCATAAGCAGAGCTAAAGTCTTTCTTTGATAGGATATAATTCGGCCCAAGTTTCTTATAGCGCGAGATGTTCTATAAGTCGAGCTCAAATTATAAGGAAAGGTTAGTCTTGCTTAGTAAATCACAATGAGAGAAAGAACTTAGGTGTTAATCCAAGTTTATTCAGACTCATGCGCTCACTTTGCAAGGCTAAAAGTGAATGCATCTAGCCTGTGCAAAGGTGGGCCTATTTATACATAGATTTTCCCGCTTATTATTGCAGGAGAGATTTCATCGAAAATTCGAGAGACATTCGCGAATTTTGAGAAATGATTTTTCTTAATTTACAAGTAAATAGCCATTAATATTAAGTTTTTAACACATGTAAATTTTACAGAATTAGTTATTTGTTGATTTTATACAGTATACAATTATCGCCAATAGTGTCGTCAAAAGTTATTAACTAATAAAGTTAATTAACGTGATATTACATTATTTACAATAGAAAATTGTTAAAATTTCATATAACCTTAAAGTTGATTAATTTTGGAAGTATTTTCCAAAATTAATTATTTAAATTAATTAATAACATTTGAATTATGACTAATTTTTGATATTTGTAACGGTTTTCTTCTAATCTTAATTTGCGATTATTAGATTAATTATCTAAGAATTCTAAATCATAAAATTGTCATTATCAAGTATTAACTTAATATTTTCGTTCTATATATAGCTTATTGTTTAAATAAATTATTAGTTGTTTATTTATTAATAACAGTTGTTATTTAGCTGTTATTAATGAAACCAATTCTTACTCATGTTCTATGCTTATTCATTTTACATATAAATTATTTATATTTTTCTAATATTTCATATGTTAATAAATAAATTAACTTTACATATTGATATTCATTATTAATTTATAATTGAATGAGATATTGTGAATCTGTATGTTAAAATCTATATAATCGATACTTTGTTATATTCAAATTATCTATAATTAACATATTTTTCTCAATATGATGGATCATTATATCTATGTCTATTATTTGTGACGTCACGCTATTTGTTTTGACTTGACTCTTATTTGTATACAGTCGCGTAAACAGTGAGGTAGCGCCGCTTAATGTATTGTTTTGACTAAACAGATAAATACGTTAGACTAGTTGCAGTCATTTAATAATTTAATAAATAGCTCATATATAGGACCGTTACATCCGTCAAATGTATATGTGTGTGTGTATATATATATATTTTCTTGGTCGTATAGGCGAAAACAAATTGTCTGTATGGTTGCGGGCTTTCTTTGCTTATCTATCAACACTCAAGCTCTGATAAACCAAACTAAACTCAAATTTTAATTAATAAAAAAAAATACCGGATAAACTCAGACAAATCAAACTTCACTAAATTCAAATTTTAATTAGTGAGATAAACTCTGATGATTTTAATTAACTCAATTTTTAGTAAACTCAGAAATATCGCAGCCTTCTTGCTCAGGCGCTCAGTCCTGACTGACTGATCTCTCTCGTCGTTTTCACCAGTTTGTTATATATCCTTTGTCTCTCGAATTCTATCTCTCTCTAGCGCATACGCTTTAGTCGTTTACGCGTTTCTAATCGCCTCGTATTACTTAGCCTAGCACTCTGACTGCAGCAGCGTGAATCAGCTTCTCCCGCTCATTCCCACCGAGCCGTGCACACGAATACTGCTGGCTATGGTGTTTTATCGCTATGCCCTTGGCCAAGTAAATGGTACGTCACGTAACAACATAGGTAAAACAAAACGTAGTTTAAAAATTAGAATAAATGAACATAAAAAATCAATAGGAACTAACATTTTACATTACATATTTCTAAAAATTCGGATCACAGTTTTAATTGGAATAATACAATAATCCTAGACAGAGAAATTAATTATAAAAAAAGATTAATATCTGAAATGTTACATATTAATAGTGACAGTGACACAATCAACAGGAAAGAAGATACATATTTACTCAGTAAGCAGTATTCGAGAATTAATACAATTTTAAATAGTCTAAACCGATAAAATTCATTAAGAAAAATTTGGTCATTTATATAATTTCATTCGGCTGTCACGTCGATACTAAGAGAACGCACGTGACAGGCCATGGTAACTAACCAGGTTTCACGTCGATACTAAGAAAACGCACGTGACGGGCTATGGGTAACTAATTGGATATCGGTAATTTTACTTTCTATCATACCAATTGTCAACTTTCCCGGGAAGATTTGTAAATCTATCTTGCGAGATGGATTAGGCTAAGCACGTTCTCCATATTAATTCCGTGAATATTACTCACCGCATATTAATTTAGCAAAAAGAAAGAAAAGGGATACGTCAGCCTATGGTACAAAAAGGCTGGATCAGGATTCGCGAATAGGCAGTAGTAGTTCAGAAATTCAATAGTACAGTACTGTTATTGTATTATTTCTGTTTCGCTACCCGGTTACTCAGAATCGGAATTGTACTCAACTAAGCATTATAAACTTGTCTTTTCAAATAATAAATCTTAATCAAGTGCAAACACCTGAGACTCTTTCATAAAATCTCCTCTGAAGCCCGGTCCTAACAAGGTAAGACACTTAGTTATCTACCTAAACACACCATATATAATAAAGGCGTTATCCCTTTAACCAACCTCTGCTTACCTCCTGACTAAGATCCAACCTTTACCAACGCGCCAGTATTTTAAACATTATTGCGTCTAACCATAACACCTCTTCGTCTAGGCATAACAGGGACATCTGGTAAATAGTAGCCTTGTTCATAATCGGATTAACTTGAAGTTCTGACGACATTAATACTTATATTTCAGTCCTTTCTAAATCATGCATCGTAATACACGTAATTGACTATAATTTTCACAGTTGACAATTTTAGTTTCACTGAAAGAAAATTCATTTTGACAATGTTTAGAAAGCATTTTGAAATTGTGAGTGCAACTATTCGTAATTTATTGTTTGATATTTAATAATTTGAATGTATTAATTAATTTTATATAATTTATTAATAAAGTATTCCTGAAGAGGCCATGAACAAAATGGCGAAACGTTGAATTAGTTTGAAAGTTTTGTAGTTGTATTTTTGGGATTTCCTCACACCAATGATTTTAATTTCCAATTTGATTCTTGCTCTAATACAATCATATAATACGTAAGGTGGCGCAGTTCTATATGCTAATAGATAGGTATAGATTTGTGAGTTTAGCAGGTTGCCATAACAGAGTAAAAGTGAGAAAATAATCTAAGAACTCATAGCTAGGACCATTACAGCTGAACACTCACAGCGGCTACTTAGTATTATTGTGTAAGAAGTGGCAACAAAAAATAAACTTCCTTTTTCCAATGAATTATGAATTTCTATCCGTTAACCTTGAGTTATTTCCACATGACCTCACTTTCAAATTCGAACAAGTGATAGCAAGATTGTGATTGCGAACGATTTTTGTGTTCGTTTATAGCTTAATTTTTCGCTTTGAATTTTCTTGTAAATTACACGATGTATGTGTTTCTGTGACAGCAACGTAAGCTGTCCATGCGTTAAAATATCCACGCGTCAAGCAGAAAAGTATCAACTCTGTTATATAACACATACAAGAAGTGTTTAACTCTAAGAAGAATAAAAGTCGATGTAGAGAGCAGTTTGTGCTGTATTAGTCTACAGACATATCACGTTTTGATTTAGCATAACGAATATTTATATAATATAATTTTTTAAATGTTTAAGATTCATATACGAATAAATACTTACGCATTGAGATAGTAGTTTAGTATATAAGGATTAAGTATACTACTTTACCTGGTATACGAAGCTAGTAAGATCTCGAGATGTAAGACTAAAATATCCTTGGTTACGATCTTCTCTGAAAGTTCTTAAAAAACTTTGCAATTTTCCACCACTTACATATTCGAGAATAATAAATATAGGATCACGCTCTGTACAACATCCCAATAAACGCACTACATTTGGATGAGGGTCTAAAATTTTCATTATTTTTAATTCTTTTATAAAGTCAAGTTTCTCGCATTCTGTTGCATTCTCTTTTAATGTTTTCACAGCAACAATTTTGGATTTTGTACATGAATGAATTTCAAGAGCTTCACACTTCCATACCTGTCCAAAATATCCTTCACCAAGTATAGTAGATACCTGTTGAATTTATTATTATTATGTCATGTAAAAAACAAACAATTAGTAATTAGTAATTCGTAAACTAGTAAAACGCTGTTATTAAGTATTATCATTACGTTCTGTAATTCTTAATTATCAATCAATCTTGAAATTTAAATAAATCGAAATTGTTATAAAATCTTTTGGAAATATATTTCAATTATCTATCATAATAATTTAATATTTTCTTCTGGTATTATATAGTATTGAAATTATATATTTTATTTGAGGAAATATGTATAAATAGAACTAAATATGGCAATGAGTTTATATGACACTTTATTTGATAAAGTATTACAAAATAAGTAACTAAAGGTAAATTTTCTATTCTTTATTATGTATCTGGTATATAAAAAATAGTAACATGAGATGTAAAATGATATATTAATAGTCTGAATCTCACAAAATGTTCGAACAAAGTAGTCTCTCTGTATCTTTCTTCTATATTCCATGGTAATCTATAAAATAATCTTGTTCTACTCATGGGCTTAGTTGAAGTATTTTTAAATATTCTTTTTTTCATATGGCCGTTCCATGATTAATGTATACGTGGTCGATTTCTCGATTTTCCTGGCTTCTTTAGTATAGTCAGTTTCCAGTCTCCATAGAATAATTTTGCGAGTATTATTCGTGATATTTTCTAGAGAAAATCTCTTATAAGTCATATCTATTCCAACTGTTTCAAGAGTTCGCTCAGTGCAATATTATTCAGACAGAATATTTTGAAACTTTTGAAATTATGCATCGCGCAATTTGCCATATCATTACCACGAATACAGTCGCTCAAGCAGAGTATTAATACGTTCAATGAATGTTAGTTAATGGAAATGATCCTTTTTCTGGGTGATAGGTATTAGTCACTATAAAGTTAGACAGATTCTGTCAGTTGAGTTTGTAATGTAGGTGTTACGTCTTTTCTTTTATGTTTTTCGTTTGGAGAGGATTTCCCTCAGGTATCATCGCAAATTCAATTTGGAATATACTATGGTAGATGAATAACGATAGAATTTCGAATCATTTTGACAACTCTCCTACTTATGAGCATTCTCCGGAGTCCGTATACGAAATGCGCAACATTATTAAGAAATTATAGCAGATAACGTGATTATTATAATATTAATACTTAGACCTGCATATATGTTTAGAATAATATGTAATAATTTTTTATCTTATCTTGTAATCTCTGTCGTGTCTATAATATCATTAAACGTCTTCTCTTGAGTTATCAAGTTTCAGATTACGGAGTCAATTTTTCTGATTCTATGTCGGTTTCCAAGAGATAATTTAGTATAGGATACAAATTCGTTAAATTAAGAATAAGATTCGGTTTTGAATAAGTATGTGTTAGTGCTGTTTATATTAGATTCTGTCAGCGGGATTACATTGTTTATGTATACAATACAATTTTCGTAGAAAATATTAATAATAATTTAGAAATATTAATAATAGATAAGAAATATTAATATTTCTACCCCTGTATATTTATTATCTAGTCCATTTGATCGTGACAGCATATCCGAGTATTATCTCGTTTATTGTCTGAAAATATCCTGAAGTCATTCATCAAGATATAATTCCAATTAGTTAAATTTTGGTTCTTTACTACTATATCACCATGATATAATTCATAATTTGAAGGTTTTAATAACATTTTCAATTCATAGTTCTTCTTAAAATTTGCATCAAAACCTTATACTGAACATACTACGAAGGTCGTTTGAAAAGTCCGTGCAAAAATAAAAACTGCTTGATTTTTTTTAATAAATCTTTTTTATTTTTCAACATAGTCTCCTTTTAGGCTTATACACCTCATCCAACGCTGCTCTAGTTTGTTAATCCCTTTCAAATAATAGAATTCATCCAAGTCTGTAAAATAAGCATTCGTTTCTGCAATCACCTCCTCGTTTGAATAAAATCTTTTCCCCGACAGCCATTTTTTCATATTAGGGAACAAATAGTAGTCCGATTGAGCCATGTTTGGAGAATAGGGGGGATGTGAAACGAGTTGGAACCCTATCTCCATCAGTTTTGCGGCCATAACTGCTGAGGCGTGAGCTGGTGCATTGTCGTGGTGGAAGAGGACTTTTTTGTGGGCCAATCGTGGACGTTTCTCTAGCAACTCGGTTTTCAAACGATCCAATAACGATGAATAATATTCGCCTGTAATGGTTTTACCCTTCTCCAGATAGTCGATGAAGATTATTCCTTGCGAATCCCAAAAGACAGTCGCCGTAACCTTCCCGGCCGAAGGAATTATCTTCGCCTTTTTCGGAGCAGATTCCTGCTTGGTAACCCATTTTTTAGACTATTCTTTGGTCTCAGGAGTGTAGTGATGTATCCATGTTTCATATACAATGATGAAACGACGCTTAAAGTCTTGCGGATTTGGCTGAAACAGCTGCAAACCATTCTTGCAACACTTCACACGATCTCCTTTTTGGTCAATCGTGAGCAATCGCGGCACCCATGTAGCGGATAGCTTTTTCATGTCCAAATGTTGGTGCAAAATACTATGTACCAGTTCGCTCGAGATGCCTACAGTACTAGCAATCTCCCGCACCTTCACTCTTCTGTCAGCCATCACCATATTGTGATGTTCGTATCACTTATAAATAAAATAATTCGAACTCTCGTAATCTAGCTAATGAGTAAGAATTTGTTTCCAATGATTTTACTCTAATTGTCAAGAAAATAGATAAATGAATTAAATATAATAAATAAGTAAATCAAATATACATAAGTAAGTGCAATATATCGAGGAAAGTCAGACAATGCCCTAGTTTCTTATGGTGCGAATTGTCCCATAAGCAGAGCTAAAGTCTTTCTTTGATAGGATATAATTCGGCCCAAGTTTCTTATAGCGCGAGATGTTCTATAAGTCGAGCTCAAATTATAAGGAAAGGATAGTCTTGCTTAGTTAATCACAATGAGAGAAAGAACTTAGGTATTAATCCAAGTTTATTCAGACTCATGCGCTCACCTTGCAAGGCTAGAAGTGAATGCTAGCCTGTGCAAAGGTGGGCCTATTTATACACAGATTTTCCCGCTTATTTTTGCAGGAGAGATTTCATCGAAAATTCGAGAGACATTCGCGAATTTTGAGAAATGATTTTTCTTAATTTACAAGTAAATAACCATTAATATTAAGTTTTTAACACATGTAAACTTTACAGAATTAGTTATTTGTTGATTTTATACAATATACAATTATCGCCAATAGTGTCGTCAAAAGTTATTAACTAATAAAGTTAATTAACGTGATATTACATTATTTACAATAGAAAATTATTAAAATTTCATATAACTTTATAGTTGATTAATTTTGGAAGTATTTTCCAAAATTAATTATTTAAATTAATTAATAACATTTGAATTATGACTAATTTTTCATATTTGTAACGGTTTTTTCTAATCTTAATATTATAACGGCCGGGGCCGTTTTCGCGGAAGATTGTCCGCGCGCGAGGCCGAGCATGGCCAAGCGGGCAAGCGAGCGAGGAGTGAAGAGAGAGAGAGACAGAACGAGACTCGATCAGGCGCGTGCCGTAGCGGTAGAGTGGGGAGAGAAAACGATTTTTCGAGGACTTAGACTTAGACCGGCGAGCTGGAAGGATTGTCACGTGCGCGCACGAACGAAAGAAAAAGGAGAGCGACCGGAAGAGACAAAAGTGAAAGTGCGCAAGGAAGTAGAGACCATCCCCGAGGATCGCCGGAACCTGTAGATCGTCACCTCGAGTGGGCGATCACCAGGGGCAGAACTTGCCCGCCCGAGCAAGGGCGACAACGCGGGCGACTAGCGAGGGGTAGTCTGTCTGCAGCAGCTACTTCACGGTGAGTTTCGTTGCGTTCGTAAGCGATTATTTAGCGTGTGATAGTTGCGCGAGCGAGCGTCTCTCTCTCTCTAAAATAGGATACAAAGCAAAATCTCGGCACGCGATATTGTGTATACGTTGTGTTGGGCGTACCTAGGAAGGCACCTCTGTCCCTTCTCACGCCCGTGATTAGAACTCACGCACGCTCTCGTGCTTAGCCGCACTTTCGCGATCCCTTTTCAGGGCAGCGCGTGCCCGCCCGTATTCGGCGGAACGCCAGGAAGCGGCTAGCTGATCGGGGCGGCGGTGAGCCCCGCACCGAACAGCGAAAACAAAATTCTTAACGGGCCGCGAGAATAATTTGATTATTCCACAGGCCGTTACAATATGCGATTATTAGATTAATTATCTAAGATTTCTAAATCATAAAGTTATCATTATCAAGTATTAACTTAATATTTTCGTTCTATATATGGCTTATTGTTTAAATAAATTATTAATTGTTTATTTATTAATAAAAGTTGTCATTCAGCTGTTATTAATGAAACCAATTCTTACTCATGTTCTATGCTTATTCATTTTGCATATAAATTATTTATATTTTTCTAATATTTCATATGTTAATAAATAAATTAACTTTACATATTGATATTCATTATTAATTTATAATTGAATGAGATATTGTGAATCTGTATGTTAAAATCTATATAATCGATACTTTGTTATATTCAAATTATCTATAATTAACATATTTTTCTCAATATGATGGATCATTATATCTATGTCTATTATTTTGTGACGTCACGCTGTTTATTTTGATTCGACTCTTATTTGTATACAGTCGCGTAAACAGTGAGGTAGCGCCGCTTAATGTATTGTTTTGACTAAACAGATAAATACGTTAGACTAGTTGCAGTCATTTAATAAATAGCTCATAAATAGGACCGTTACAATATCATGGATTTTATCAATGATTTCTGAAGTCGTAACCTCAACAGGGCGTCCAGAACGTTCAGTGTCTTTTGTGCTCATATGGCCACTCCGAAAATTTTGAAACCACATTCTAATCGAAGGTGCACAACCACCATAATGTTTATCAAGCTTCTGTTTAATCTCCTGAGGCGTTTTGCCTTTGAAAAAGTAATGTTTAATCAATACACGAAATTC